TCCTTGCCCCCCCTCCCCGGTCCCTCCCTGCTCGAGGAGTCGCGGCGGCGGCGGCCGCGGCGGCGGCGGCGGCGGCGGCAGCAGCAGCAGCAGTGGGGGGTCAGCAGCTCGGCCGGCGGCGCGGCTCGAGCGTGCCGACGCTGGGACTGGGACTCCGCGCGAGGAGCGCGCGCGCGCCCGCCCGCAGGGGGGGGGGGCCGCCGAGGCCCGCCGGGGCGGGATGGTGGAGATAAGGTGTTACTGTGGCCCGTTGGTTGTTTGTGCGGCCCTGGTGGGTGTTAGTATGGCCAGGGTTCCTCCGGAGGGTGTCAATCAACGAGTACGGTGAAGGGGGGGAGTCTCCAAAGAGCTTCCTCCCCTCCCTTCACCGAAGAGCCTCTCGGAAGAGCCTCGGGGGGCTGGCGACCGGCCTCCTTGAAGTAGCCGAAGAGCCTCGTGGGCTCTCCGAAGAGCTTCTTGGAGTAGCCGAAGAGCCTCTTGGGCTTTCCGAGGCCTTGAGGGTCTCCAAGGAGCCCTCCAAGGAGGCCTCCAAAGAGCCCTCCAGGAAGCCCTCCAGAGCCTCCCATTCCTCCGCACTCCGTCGCACTCCTCGGCGCTACTCCGCAGTTCACTCCATTCCTCCCCCCTTTCCGCACTCCTTCCCACTCCACTGTACTTTTCCGCACTTCACCGTACTCCTCTGCATCCCTCCCCACTCCTCGAAACTCCCTCCATCTTGCTTTTCGGCGTTCCTCCCCACTCCTCTGGAGTCCTCCCCACTCCGTCGCACTACTCTTTTACGCCTCCCCAATCCATGGCAGTCCTCCTCCTGCCTCCTCCTGATTTCTCCCTCGCTCTCCCCCCTCCCTCCATACTCCTCCCTCCTCTCTCCTCTTTCCTTCCCCCCCCATTCCATTGCACTCCTCAGCACTCCTTTGGAGTCATCCCCACTCCATCGCATCCCTCCTTCTACCAATTCCATGACACTCCTCGTCCTCCCTCTTTCCCTCCTCACTTCCTCCCTCCTTCCCTCCTTCCCCATCTTTCCCTCTCTACTACTACGACGACAACTACTAATCTCAGTACTAGTATTCGTATTCGTATACATACTAGCCCTAGTACTAGCTACGACGACTACTATTACTACTACTATTACTACTACTGATACTACTACGACTACTACTATTACGACTACTACTATTACTACTACTACTACTACTACTACTACTACTACTACTACTACTACTACTACTACTACTACTACTACTACTACTACTACTAGTACTACTTTTAGTACTACTAGTACTACTGCTACTACTACTACTACTACTACTACTACTACTACTACTACTACTACTACTACTATTACTTCTACGACTACGACTGCGACTACGATTACGTCTACTTTTACTACTACTACTACTAATCCTACTAGTACGACTACTAGTACTACTGCTGCTACTACTACTACTACTATTACTACTACTACTACTACTACTACTACTACTACTACGACTGCTACTCTTACGACTGTTACCACTACTACGCCTACTAGTGTTAGTAGTAGTAGTAGTAGTAGTAGTAGTAGTAGTAGTAGTAGTAGTACAATTACGTCTACTAGGCCTACTTTTACTACTACTACTACTACTGATTCTGCCACTGCTACTGCTGCTACTACTACTACTACTACTGCAACTACTAGTGCTACTACCACTACTACCACTACTGCTTCTATCAGTATTATTCAAATTACTACTACTACTACTATTACTGCTGCTGATTCTGCCACTACTAACTACGACTAATGCTGCTGCTGCTACTACTACTGCTACTGCTACTGCTGCTGCTGCTGCTACTACTACTACCACTACTATTATTATGACGACTACAACAGCAACTACTACTACTACTACCACTACTACTACTACTACTACTACTACTACTACTACTACTACTACTACTACTACTACTACTACTACTACTACTACTACTACTACTACTACTACTACTACTACTACTACTACTACTACTACTACTACTACTACTACTACTACTACTAACTACTACTACTACTACTACTACTACTACTACTACTACTACTACTACTACTACTACTACTACTACTACCACTACTACTACTACTACTACTACTACTACTACTACTACTACTACTACTACTACTACTACTACTACTACTACTACTACTACTACTACTACTACTACTACTACTACTACTACATATTTTTAGTATTATTCTACAGGCTTGCGCCACATCCGCCGACCCCTTGTGTGACTGTTGCGATGCCAGGAGTTTCTGGCCAGCGGCGTCTTGTGTGAGGGTGCGGTGTCGCGCGCGGGTGGTGGCAGATACGTAGGGGTCCAAATGTTTGCGTGATGCCCGTGGTCTGGGGCGTGTTTTGCGAGCGCCTTGCGTGCTGTGCACCCGGGTGCGGGGTGTCCTTCTGGGAGGTCGGCCTTTCGACCCTCAACCAAGTGGAGGACCACCGGAAGACGAAAGGAGCAAGAGTAGCGCGCGGAAACTGTGATCAGCGAAGCATCGCCGCGAAAGATGTGGCAGATGAGTCGAAACGGGTGAAGAGGCTGTTGACGTTCGCAGCGCGCACGAAACAGTTCGCGTAGCAGCAGCACATTAGCGCCGAGCAAGATTGTGAGCACGTCGCGAGGAAGAGTAAGGCTGCGTGCGCGGAGTGCATTGCAGTTGGCTTGACGGCTCGCAATGCGGAAGCGTCTGGGGGTCTTTTGGAGGCCTCCTGGGGGGGCTCCTTGGGGCGTCTTGGCGGCCTCTTGGGGGCCTCTGGCGGCCTCTTGGGGCACTCTTGGGGCCCCCTGGGGCTCGTTTGAATTTATGGTTGCCCTCTTGGGCCCCTCTTGGTGCCGTCTTGGATCCTTCTTGGGCCGTCTTAGGGACCTCTTGGGCCGTCTTTGGGCCATCTTGGGCCGTCGTGGGGCCGTCTTGGGGGCCTCTTGGGCCGTCTCGGGGCGGTCTTCGGGGCCTCTTGGGCCGCCTTGGAGCGTCGGAAAAGCCACGAGGCGAATTTGTGAAAACTATGCGTTTTACGAAGGAACGGAGCATTTTTTTGCGTCTAGAGACCGTCTTGGGACGCATCTTGGAGGCCCCTTGGGGGCGTCTTGGGCCAGCTGGAGGCCATCTCGGGTGTCTTCGATCGCTCTTGGACCGTGTGGGACCATGTTGAGCTCTCTGGGAAGCCACTTGGAGCGCTCCTGGAGCGCTCTTGGGGCCGTCTTCGGGGCTCTCTTGGGCCGTCTTCGGCGCCTCTTGAGCCGTCTTGGCGCCTTCTTGGGCTGTCTTGGGGCCCTCTTGGAGGCTTCTTGGACCGTCTTGGTGCGGTCTTGGGGGCCTCTTGGGCCGTCCGGGAGCGTCGGAAAGCCCAAGAGGCGAATTTGTGAAAACTATTCGTTTTACGAAGGGAACGGGCCAACTTTTTGCGTCTAAAGGCCCTCTTGGGGCGCATCTTGGATGCCTCTTGGGGCCTCTTGGGGGCGTCTTGGGCCGTCTGGAGGCCGTCTTCGGTGTCTTTGATCGCTCTTGGACCGTCTGGGACCATATTGAGCTCTTTTGGAGGCCACTCGGAGCGCTCCTGGAGCGCTCTTGGGGCCGTCTTCGGGGCTCTCTTGGGCCGTCTTCGGCGCCTCTTGAGCCGTCTTGGCGCCCTCTTGGGCTGTCTTGGGGCCCTCTTGGAGGCTTCTTGGACCGTCTTGGTGCGGTCTTGGGGGCCTCTTGGGCCGTCCGGGAGCGTCGGAAAGCCCAAAAGGCGAATTTGTGACAACTATTCGTTTTACGAAGGGAACGGGCCAACTTTTTGCCGCTAGAGGCCCTCTTGGGGCGCATCTTGGATGCCTCTTGGGGCCTCTTGGGGGCATCTTGGGCCGTCTGGAGGCCGTCTTCGGTGTCTTTGATCGCTCTTGGACCGTCTGGGACCATATTGAGCTCTCTTGGAGGCCACTCGGAGCGCTCCTGGAGCGCTCTTGGGGCCGTTTTCGGGGCCCACTTGGGCCGTCTTGGACGCCTGTTGGCCCGTCTTGGGGCCCTCTTGGGGTATTTTGGGGCCCTCTTGGAGGCTTCTTGGGCCGTCTTGGGGCGGTCTTGGGGGTCTCTTGGGCCGTCTGGGAGCATCGGGAAACCCAGAAGGCGAACTTGTGAAAAATGTACGTTTAACGGAGGGAATGGGCCACTTTTTGCGTCTAGGGACCCTCTTGGGGCGCATCTTGGAGGCCTCTTGGGGCCTCGTGGGGACCTCTTTTGCCGTCTAGGAGGCCTCGTGGCCCGTCTTTGGGCCACCTTGGGCGTCTTGGAGCGCTCGTTTGGCGTCCCGGGGCCATTTCGAGGCCACCGGAGGAGTCCTTGCAGAATTTTCGGGAGCGGATGACCCCCCTGGGGGAATCGGGGAATTTGGCCAGACCCCCCCGGGGGAATCGGGGAATTTGGCCGGACCCCCCCCCCTCCAAATCGACCGGACCGGGCTCCCGGGGGAGGGCTTTGGGAGGGGGAAGATCTCACACGCCGATGAGCCCCAAGGGGTCGGCAGACTACTACGAGCTTTGTTATTATTCGTATTAGCATTTTTACATTATTACGTTGATTCCAGGTGGGGGTTACTCTGGCCAATCTTGCCTGCGCGGGAAGGCACTCGCTTAAAGATTGCGAATCTCTCCAGATTACTTTTCATTGAACGGCCATCGCGGGCCACAGTAAGTCCCATCCGGCCGCGCGACGGGCCTCACTAACACCCAACGGGCCACACTAACACCCAACGGGCCACAATAACAACCGGTCGACGGGATGGTGGGGTGGTCGTGCTGGGGTTCGGGCTCGGGCTCGGGTTCGGCCTTTGAGCTCGGGCTCGTGCTCGGGCCCCAGAGTGGGGGGGGTTAGGCGGGGCGGGAAGGGCGGGGGCGGGAGAGCTCCTCCTCCTCCTCCTCCTCCTCCTCCTCCTCCTCCTCCTCCTCCTATTCTTTTTCCGTATTAGAGTATTTTCCTACTCCCCCCTGTGGCCGGCCGATACGGGTTCCATCTGGCCCCTTCCATCCCAACTGCAAACAATCCATACAAAGTCGTCGTTTTTCTCTCAACATATCCTTTCTTGTTGTCGGCTTTGCGAAATGCGTAGCAGGAATGGGACGCGGTGCACATCGCGCGCGGACGCCTGGGGCAACCAAGTGGGAGGGGCCATTCTACTTGTAAAA